ACAGACACTTCATTCTTCTGCATTTCCGTTTTCAAATTCTCCAATTTTCCTGCTTGATTCAAGGTCCTGACATTCCATGTTCCAATCTTGTATCCATGCTGTTTCTTCTGATCTTCGCACTTTTTCTTGTTGTAACGCCTGCATGACATTTCCTCTAGAAACACTCCCCCCCGGAGATCCGATTGGGGGAGTAGTTTAGCAGAGGAATATCCTACACAAAATAAGAAAACGGAAGGCTCATTGGATTGGTCATGTTTTACGCAGAGACTGCCTTCTAAAAGAAGTTATCGAAGGAAAGATAGAGGGGTGGATAGAAGTGACAAGAAGACGAGGAAGAAGACGTAAGAAGATGCTGGATGACCTTGGAGACAGAAGAGGATACTGTCATTTGAAGGCAAAAGCTCTAGATCGCATTAAGTGGAGGAACTGTTTTGGAAGAGACTGTGGACCTGTCGTCTGACAGATTACTGATGATGATGATGTCCTAAAACATAAAAATTGGAATATACAAAACTATGCGAGACTTGTTACTCATAATGAAGCAAATAATCTGTTGGTACACGAACAATATGGTTTTTAAGACACAATCCTCAACTGAGAGGGCAGCTTTTACATTGATAAATAATATTTTAACAGCGATGAATAATAAGTTAATGGTGGGAGGCATTTTTTGTGATTTACAAAAGGCATTTGATTGTGTTAACCATAAATTATTATTGGATAAATTGGAATTCTATGTAACTGAATGAAAATTCAAAACACTTATTGGATCTCATTTGACAGGTAGATATCAAAGAGTTGTACTGGATAATAGAATTGACAATAACAACTTATTGAAATGGGAAACAATTAAATGTGGTGTTCCACCGGGCTCGATTCTTGGTCCCTTGTTTTTCCTGCTTTATATTAATGACTTACCTAAAATAATAAATAAAAATAATAATATGGTATTATTTGCAGACAACACCAGTATTATAGTAACTGACACTAATAAGTTAAACTTTTAAATAAATCTTAATCAAACTTTCAAAGATATAAATACATGGTTTAATGCTAATTTGCTTACCTTGAATTTTAATAAGACCCAATATGTCAAGTTTTGACCCATGAATTATTATTATAATATCACTACTCAAATTAATTATGATCAAATAAATTGAACAAATGTGACTGAGACAAAATTTCTGGCATTAATTATTGATGATACTCTTTCACAGAAACAGCATATTCATTATGTTATTAATAAAATTGCCATTGCATGTTATGAATTGATAAGTATAAAATATATTATCCTTTTATATACATTAAAGCTAATTTATTTTGCTCATATACATTCTATCATAAGTTATGATATACTTTTTGGGGTGGTTCTTGTTGTGTTAACAAAGTTTTTATATTCAAAAGAAAGTTATTAGAATTATAACGAATTCTAGACCAAGAGAGTCTTGTAGGGACATTCTTAAGAATTTGGAAATGATGTTCTATTGTCAGTACATATATTCATTAAGCACAATAGACCACAGTAGGTCGCGGTGCAAGGGCCGAGGAGGCCTACCCCTCATACATTCATACATATATTCATTACTTTTATACACAATTAATANTGGTCACAAGTGTTTAAATTTGTAATGTATTTAATTCAGTTCATATATGTAATTTAAACAAAATTTTATGAATTCAAGTTCTATAGTAAGTTATTTTTAAATTATGTTTATTAATTAAAATCTTATTACATTTTTTTACTTTATATTATTATTTATGTTAATCAATTAATGTAAGTGATTTTGATTATGTGACTCATGTAATTTTGTATATGTATCTTGATATATCTATTTTCAAAGGGACCATTTCCACATCCTAGGTATGTTATCTGTATGAACATATGGAAAATAAAGGAAATGAATGAATGAGTTATACGATGGTTATAAAACAACGAGTCATGCAACATCACCTCACATGTGCGAGCCCTTCCCTGCTCTAAAATAAATGGAAATTACTTTCCAAATAGCCCACGCACAATTATGTGTTTGGGGCAGATTTTCTAAAGGATCCTGTTTAAAAAAAAAAATATGGCCCTCATCTGATCTTAAGGTTAAGAAGAATTGTTCATTAAATTATTACATAGCTTCAGCAACAGAACCAGGATTGGTAAATAATTTATGAAGAAATGTCAATTAAATGCTTCTATAAAGAGTTGAGACAAATTCTTGGAGATCTACAATTTGCAGATAAGTAACTACGAAGGTTTAAACTCCTCCTGCACCTAATACAGTTAAATGTAATTTAAAATCATTACTATATATTATGATAGCACAGCAACATGTTATAAATTTAACTGATCTGTTGGGAAAATAAAGTGAAGAGCATTAATGCTAAAGAGTTCTATCATAATGGATATAACACCATGTACTCCACTGAGAGTCAACCAGCGTTTCAGAGGAACATGACGACTCCATCTTTAAGGTTGAAGAATATGCCAAGCAAAAAACAGTGATAAGCAGGTAGTGAGCAGAGTTTCAATAGTTACAAACATTCAAGGGGCAGAAAGAACTAGATTCTCAACCCAGTTATGATGGGGATATCATTTGGTTAAATAAGTAAATGTTTGATTACCACAACATACTTGAAGAAATCTGAACGTCCTGATCGATTATTGCGTTCCCAAACAGTGGCCACTCCACCAATATCTATAGTTCCTTTCACCAGCACAGCAATCATTGATGAGTAGAGAATTAGAACTTGGAAGCAGTCTGTCCATACCACAGCTTTCATTCCTCCCTGTCAATGACACAAGCAGTATTCAATTTCATACACAAGGAATCAAAAGGTGTGATGCAGTGATTCTTACTTCTAATTTTGAAATATAAATCTTTCCACAACAAAAAAATTTCTAACACTACCAACAGCCGTTTTCCTATAAGAACAGTTCTGTACTGAGTTTGTCACTCCTTTTATTAAAACACTGACATGAAATCGTTTGTCAACAGTAAAAAAATCCATCATTCAGTTAATAAAAATTACTGCAAACATCATCAGAAGTGTGCTTAATCTGTGAGGCATAACTACAAAAAGGACATCATTGCATACTAGCTTAATTTTACCCAAACATATGAAGTATGAGGTTTTCATGACAGTGGCTAAGAAAATTTATTTTTCTGGGATGGAATGCGATATAGTTTGGGAGATAAGGTAACTACCAGACTATGTCACATCGCATCCAAAGAGACAGTTATTTTTACCTGCACATACTCACTGACCATGATCAAATCACTAACCAGGCCTGCACTGATTTCATATAAATATGTAAGCCACCTTCAAAAGCTAGGAGTCAGAATAAGAAATAAAATACTTCAAGTGAGAAATTCTGTCTTTTTTAACAAAAGGACAATTAAAACATCTACATATAAATAACGGACAGTTCGTTTCATGCTCAGAGAAAACCCAAAGAGGAGTTAACATGTGAATATAATAATGAAATTATAAATAACTGGAAGAGGAAGCAAACAAAAAATTCTTTGGCTTGCAAATTGATAATCATTTAAACTGGAAAAACCATATCCATCAATTGGTTCCAAAGCTAAGTGTAACATGTTATGCAATTAGATCTATGTTGCATATCACCCACACTGACACCCTCAAATCAATTTAGTTTGCTTTTCTCACTCTTTAATGAAATATGAAATAATTTTCTGGCATAATTCATTTAACAGCAAAAATGTATTTATACTGCAAAAGAACATTTTTACTCGTAGTCTCATGACTCGTCAAATCCTGAAACTCTTGCAGAGATCTATTTGTTTATAAGAGACTAGAGATCTTAACTCTTCAATGTGAATACATATTTTCATTAATAAACAATAACAAAGAAGAAAGTCATCTTCTGGGTTTTGGCCATTGAAGAAGTACATGGTGTCAATATATGACATTGCTATCTCCATAAACCAACTTCCAACCTCTCGTGCTTTAAGAAAAGCGCATTTATGCTAGGACCAAGATTTTCAATAATCTGCCATTTGATCTCAAAAGGCTTATGGATGAAAAAGCAGGATTTAAAATAGCACCAAAATGATACTTAAGACACACACCCATTCTACTCTGTTGATGAATACTTACTGTTTAAAAAGTAAGTCATCTGTTTAAAGGTCCTGTAAATACGAGGCTCGTCCAGAAAGTAAGTTTCCCTGGGGCCGTTTACAGAAACAAAACACAATTTCATGGAAATATTTATTGCGACAGATACAGCAAGTGTTCAGCAATTTTTCAACATAATCGCCACCGGAATTGAGACGTTTGTCATACCGTGGGACCAACTTTTGAATACCTGTGTCATAGAAGTCTGCCGCCTGGGATTGGAACCACTGTGTGACAACCATCTCCACCTCTCTGTCATTCTCAAAACGCTGACGCTCACCAGACAGGAATTTCTTGAGGTGTAGGAAAAGATGGAAATCACTGGGAGCGAGGTCCAGGCTGTAGGGTGGATGATTAAACACTTCCCAGCTGAACTCCTGCAGGAGACTTGCTGTCCGTCGAGCCGTGTGCGGCCTAGCGTTATCGTGCAGGAAGACAATACCGGCACTAAGCGCGCCGCCTGTTCTGCAGTGTTTCACAGTAACGCTCAGCATTCACCATCTCACCTCTGGTCAGGAAGTCGACGTGGAGAACGCCCCGTCTGTTCCAGCATACCGTGCACATCACTTTCCGCGCCGACGTCTGCTTGAATTTCGTCTTACAGGGAGATCCACTGTGACGTCAATGCATTGATTGCTGCTTGGTTTCTGGGGTGTTGTGTGCAATCCACGTTTCATCACCTGTGATGATCCGGTCCAGAAACTCTTCGCCGTCATCATGGTACCGCTGCATAAAGGTCAATGCTTACTACGTGCGCTTTGTTTTGTGTTCTGGTGTCAGTTGCTTCGGCACCCACCTGGCGCACAATTTCCTTAACAACAGGTGCTCCGTGATAATTTCGTGCAACAAGGAGCGGGAAATCTGCGGGACATGACTGCTGAGTTCCGCAATTGTGACGCGACGATTCTCCATAATGCGTTCCCGCACAAGCTCCACCAGGTCGTCTGTAATGATGGATGGCCGCCCACTGCGCTTCTCATCATGCACACTTTGTCGACCTGCTGAAAATTGTCTGCACCAGCGACGCACCATCTGCTTGCTCATGACGTTAGGCCCATAGACCCAGCACAGCTGGCGATGAATTTCGATCGGCGCTATGCTCTGTGCATTCAAAAACTTTATCACTGACCGCACTTCACAGTCGGCGGGAGCTGGAATAAAGAGCCTCCATCTTCGACAGCTGCAACGATGCTACTGTGGGAACGCGGGAAATTCCGTTTGTGCATGTGTCATTTACGTCATTGCTCCATCACGTACGCGCAGTCGCTTCGCGCAATAAAAGGTTTGCTAGCTGTGGGATGAGTGGGAAACTTACTTTGTGGACGTGCTATGTAGCGCAAGTTGATAGTATTGATGTATAATGTGGATATATCTTTGAATAGCCTCATGTGTGACCACTGTGCTTCTTTGGTTTCCTTGTGTGAGAACTACAGTTTTGCTGTATATATGTTTCTGTATTTGTAGGACATATTCTTCATCCTACAGTCATTTTGACTATGTCTCAAGGGGACCTCTGAGCCAAATTCAGGACATTTCCTGCCCAACAGTAGTCTCTAACGCCTCTGGTAGATGGGGGAAGCATCAAGATACCGCTGAGCCAGTAGAGGCTGAACTCGCTGGCTGAGTCGGGACTGATGGCACGCACCAGTACCGGTAGGGTATAGAGACTGGTAGAATATCACAGGGGGATGCACAATGGACCAATATCTGGTCTAAGTGCATGGGGAAACCCACCCTCTCCAATAACAACAACAACAACAACAACTGTGGAGCTGTGGCATGTAATGTAATATATTGTAATGTAACATATAAAAGGGATGGAAAAGGAACACAGGATAATGGAAGAAAGGGGATGAAGAGATAAAGAAAGAGAAGAATAGGGGGCATGAAAATGCTTTAATGTGAAAGAAAGGGAGAGAAAATGGCAAGAATGATAAGATGGACAAAGGAAATGTATGGTAAAACAATAAAGGAGAAACTATTTTGCCTGTCACCTTCATTAGATCTTGTGATAGTGGTAATATAATACCAAGAAAATGATGTCGCTTCTTAAAGCATCTGGAACTGAACCCTATAACTGTGTGGAAATGAGAATGTCATACACTGTTACAGCTGAAAATGATGGAAATGAAGCTCCACCCAATTCAGTCATTCCTATAATAATTTTTATCAGAGCACAAATTTGAGATCTCTGCTTATCTCAGATAAGACTGTGTCCAACATAAGTCACTGAACATTTGACTAATTTTATATTTTACATAATACTACGCTACATAATTTGTGAATTCCTTGTGTTGTAACTCTAAATGTGCCATAGATTATATGAGGAGTATCAGAAAGTTTCCGGACTAGGTCAAAAAAGAAATGTTGGCCGGACATACTTAATTTTGGCTCCCATCTCCTTCAAATGTCTTCTTGGGAATGTATATAGAGATCCCATTGTTTATTCCATGCTCAAAAGCTACCGTGGAAGTCACTTTCCTTTATACTGTCGAGTACCACTTGCAATTCCCCTTGGATGTCAGACACTGTTTCTAAACGTCGCCCCTTCAGTTTCATTTTCAATTTGGGAAACAAAGCAAAATCTCAGGGGGTTATGCCCAGCGAGTAGGGAGAATGAGGAACGATAACCATGTTGTTGTTAGTCACAAACTCTGTGGTTTTCAGGGACTTGTGGGTGGGCGCGTTTGTCGTGATGAAGGGGCCAGTTGTGGTTGCGCCAAAGTTCTGGCCCTTTTCATTGAAAATTTTCTTTCAAGCGTCTCAAAACGTCACAGTAGAAGTCAAGAGTTGACCATAATGTTAGGAGGAACAAATTCTGGGTGAACAATCTCCTCCACATCGGAAAAGACCATGAGCACGCTCTTTGATGAATTCCAGACCTGCCACGCCTTTTTTGCTCTTGGTGACTGTGAGCTCTTCCACTGCGATAATTGTTGCTTTGTTTCTGAATCATAACTTTAAATCTAACTTTCGTCAGCCGTTATGATCATGGAGATAAAGTTGGGTCCTCGTTAGCATTCTCTCGTAGCTCAAGACATATGTTTGCACGCTGCTGCTTTTGATCATTGTCAAGAGTCTGGAAACAATCTTTTTGGCAATGCGACACATGTTAAATTTTTCTGTTAAGATCTCCTGGCAAACTCTATAACTGATCACAACGGTGTCTACTAGCTCATGGATTGTTCGGCGACAGTCTTCATGGATGACTTCTCGAATTTTTTCAACATTTTCTGTCGTTTTGCTGGTGCTTGGTGACCCTGAACGTTCGTCATCTTCAACTGACACTCGACTGGACCAGCCTTGAAACGTGAATGCCATTCAAAAACTGCTGTCTGACTTAAAGAATGTTCTCCAAAAGTCTCACGGAGCTTTTCACGGGATTCGGTAGCGGATTTACCGAGATTCAAGCAAAACTTGATGCTGATACATTGCTCGAGTTTGCCATCCATCGCAGACAAAGGAAACACGAAGTCAAAAATGCACTCTGTGTAAAAACAGTGTGTGTTCACAGCGAGGTGTCACATGGCAGACTGATACAAAAGGCTTGCGAAAGTGTGACTCTGGCCTCGCCTCTCGTCATCTTTCACCAAGGCAGTTATAACAATAATAGTCAGGAACTTTCCAAAAATCACAAAAAGATGTTTCAAATTTTGAACTAAAAAGCCAAAGCACCCTAGAATTAATATAGTAAATTTCCAATTATCTGATAACTAAGTATCTGGAATTCTCGTGCAATTGGCTAAAATTTAAAAGAAAATGTACAATTTTTTTAAGTTATTTAAAAATTACATTCACTTGCAACGCAGTAATTTTTCCAACCAACACAAGCAGCATTGTCTGTCATCCTCCTTATGCAGTGCCAATACAGTTGTAATGATGCATGATTACAGTATAGGCTACTTGAATTTGTAATTGAGTAACAGCATATATAAGTATTTCATCATTGACTTCCATGCAGCAACTAAAGTGAAAACATTCTGTTTGAACTTTGAAACAGAAAATGGAAATATTAAGACTAAAAAAAAGAAGTTTGGGTCTGTTAAGAGATTTCCTCATGCAACTGACAAATCTGTTACCAGTACACCCCATTCCCCACATGTGATGGATAAAAGGAAGCTTATAGTAATGCAGTAAGGTTTAAACTAAAATTATATTTAAAAACTGAACTCTTTCAAGATATGGAACATATTCATCAAAACCACTTACTTTCAAAATATACACATTAATTTACAAGTTAAATGATGTGCTACAGCAGGATGACTTCAGTGACCCCTTTGATATATCTTTTATTCCATATGACAATTTTAATATTTATGTGGAAGTGAAAAGCATTTATGCTTTGTATTAACAATATGACCAACTATTACAAATTTACTGCCAGGATACACTTACGTCTAAAATTTCTGAAAATTCCATTTCATAAAACCATAACAGCCACAGACACTAATGCATTTTACTAAGTATGCTCCTTATGTAACAATACTCACAACTGTTGTGTAGAAGATGACAACAATATACATCACGGTGACGACAGAATTAGTATCCAGACCAGTCACTGCAAGTCAAAGGATTAATTTGTTAAACTATCCAGATAAGAAAACCCAAGAAGCTAAATAAACGTACACAGGTTACACAACTGATACTAATTGTAGACAAAAATTATAAAAATGGTGATGGTATGATCCTTTGAAGTTATGTTTTACAACTTCTTGATATCAAAAATAGATAGGTACTAGCAAACCTTTGGGGCAAAACTTTTCAATGAAACAGTACACAACAAATAGTTATCAGATCATTGATTAGAGGACATAACTGTTTCATGCAAATAACAGAAAACCAAATATAGCATAGGTAATCTGTTCGCAGCTGTTTTTATGCTGCCCATATTATATATGGATTTTTTCAATTTACCTAATCCTTCCAGCTGCACTATGACCCTGGGGTTGACTCAGCCTCTAACAGAAATGAGTACCAGGAATATTCTTGGAATATTCTTGGGGGTAAGGGTGGCCAGCACTTAAGGTTGACTATCTTACTGCCATCTATGAGCCTAGAAAATGTGGGAACCTCAACAGCTCACAACCATATGGGCCTCCACGGCCTGTTACAGGGATACCTTTTCTTTTTTTACTTTTTACTTATTTAATTAATAAACCTTACTTAATAAGTAAGCAGATACCTTCCAGCTTACCTTGATGTAGTGCAAGGGCTGGTGCATATAGAACTAAGGCCAAGTAAACAACCATTTGGATGGAGAACATTGCAGATGCAAAGAGCTGCAGCCAACGATTAAAACGCTGTCCAAAATACTGAAATCAAAAACAAGAAAGTATTAGTAGGTCCAGCAAATCATAACAGGAAATATCAGTGTGCTAAACTCTAAACTGCTGAAGAATGTTGTCTTCCAACTGCCTGGCTTATTCTTTGACCCTGAAGACTGAGTTGACATGTTCCTCCAAAATGTTAGTTGAATTTTGATGGACTACATGGCATTATATCCCAGTAGACAGAATTCTTTAACTATTTTCTTTGTTCTGGACAAAATTCTGATGTCATCCACGAAGAGGAGGGCATTAAATTTAAGCAAAAATATTGATGTAGTAAACAGAATTCAGACATATGATCTGTAGGTAAGTAAATAAGGATCTACTGAAGAGTCATGTAACCGTACGTCCCTCGCCAAAATTATTTAATTAAGGTTACGAACAACTAATGCATTGTTTAATACCATGAGAGACGCTCCTCCGGCGAGATACCATCCCGGGACCGTCTAGTTGTAATTCAGCTATTTTTCTCCTTAGGCTAAGGGTGCCACTATTGTCCTTAACGTCGCCTGTTTACTCCCAGTATCTTAAACCCATGAACTGACCGTGTGGGAGACTGGCCAGGAGGGGTCTTGGGTGCCTTGAAGACCTAAAAAAGTTTACGGTCTTCTCGAAAAATACGAATGTAGGTCAGATGCCAGGCTCGACCCTTGGCTTTCTCTTTTTATGTTTCTATTATTTTTCGTTTTTTAGGCCAACTGGGGGACTGGTAAAGAGAGGGCAGTCGGTTTTAGGGAGCGGAGGAGGACAGTAGTTGAAAGGTAGATAGTGAAGAGAGAAGTGTTTAACAGTAGGGTAGAGAGTAGGGCGGGCGGAGCGGCTAGCTTGAAGGACAATGCAAATATTAACCATTGAATGAAATTTTAAATTGAAAGTGCAATATTCGCTGTTCTGGAGATCTCGGATTTATTAACCCCGAAGTGTGTTCCACTTCCATCTCCGAAGCACCCGTATCCTGAGAAAAAGAACCCAAGCTCGAGCGAAAGTCGTGGCAGCTGTACTGTCTTTTGGGATTTGACACTGCGTCACCTAGTAGAACACTACCAACATTTTGGAGGAACCAACTGCCTTCTTCTTCAGGCAGTACTGCACTGGAGTAAGTGTACACTGTGCACCCTCTCCTTCTGCCAAATGAGTAGGGTATACCTTGATGTTTCTGTACTAACACCATATAACCTAGCTTTAGGAAAAATTATACAGGCTGGGAAAAAAAAATGTACTTTCTTTTTTCCTTATTATTTTATTAATTTACAGTAAACTCTTTATCATTTTTTGTGTCGATTATACACTCTAAACACTGTAGTTTCAATTCTCGAAAATCTGCAGCCCCAAAACAGCTTCAATAGTACTTCTTTCTGATCAGATTGAACCTAAAATATTGTATTTATTATTTTTTAATTCTATATACACATCAAAAATATAATTGAAATAAAATTAAGGAAATTCAAAGTAAGCTCATACATTTTCTGATGCCATCATAACGTTATAGTGATGCTCTTAAAGATTAGGTAATCCCCCACCTAGTTTTACATACATATACAGCACACCCTCTGCATTTTTACAAGTATAACACTGTCTTCAGGACAGAAAATGTTGAGAGACCTAGTGGTTTATGTGGTAGAAACAAGCAGCTACTTAGAACAAGGCATTTCTAAGTAAGAACCGAAATATCCTGACAGATAGAAAATTATAATAAATGCATGAGCTGTAACAATAAAAAAAAAAAAACTCCGTAGTTTCAGTCTGCAAGTGCACTATACCGACTGAGTGACCGCCGCTTGTTGGCGAAGTTAGTGCCAACTTTAGCGGATAGAGGGTGTCACATGGTCAGCACAACAAATTCCCATGGCCATTAATTTCGGTTTTCTAGACCAGAGCCGCTATTTCCTTCAAATAGCTCCTCATTTATCATTGGGAGGCTGAGTGGACCACGTTCCAGACCCACTACTTCTCAGAAAAAAATCTGGTAGCGCCGGGAATCGAACCCAGACCTCTGGATCTGTAGCCAGGAACTCTAACCAGTAGACCACAGAGATGGTCAGCTGTAAATATCACAATAAAGAATTGGTCATTTCAAATGATGGAGCCTGGATGATCTCATTTGCCCAGAAAATTTGGGACAGATTAATGGTCTTCATAGTGTGATGTATCAAGCAAATAGAATAATGGGTTAATGGTCTTCATAGTGTGATGTATCAAGCAAATAGAATAATGGGTCAATTATTCAGGAAGAGAATGAAAGAATGATACATCAATATACATGAGAGAATAATAAGCTGTTTAAATAGCAAGATATATCGTTTTACTAAAGGAAAAAAAGACTCTGAAATCCATATTAGAGATGGAGTGATTTTAACTTAAAATAGTAGGCTATTAGCCTAAGGAGGATGAGGAGGATGACAAAAGAAAAAGGATGGAAAGAAAAATAACACCTGTGGAACAAGTTCATCAAAGTTCAGCTGAGTAACATCTACTACACTCACATCTGCTATAAAGCTCAAGTCACTCAAGGAGCTGGGCACGGCTTGAGAAGCCACAACTTGTGCAGCTACTCAAGAACATAGCAGAATTTTATGGAACCCAAAGGTTCATTACCCTGTTCATAACAGCCCTCCACCGGTCCCTATCCTGAGCCAGATTGATCCAGTCCATACCATTCCATTCCATTTCTCTAAGATCCATTTTAATATTGTTCACCAATCCTATGCTTCGGTCTTCCTAGTGGTCTCTTTCCTTCTGGCTTTCCCATCAATAGCCTATATGCATTCCTCTTCTCTGCCATTTGGGCTACATGCCCTGCCCATTTCATCCTCCATGACTTGATCATTCTAATTATATGTGGAGAAGAGTAAAAGTTATGAATCTCCTCATTCTGTAGTTTTTTCAAACTCCCGTCACTTCATCTCTCTTTGGTCAAATATTCTCCTCAACACCCTGTTCTCAAACACTCCCAGTCTACGTTCCTCCCTTGATGTCAGAGACCAAGTTCCACACCCATACAGAACCTCAAGCAAAATTATAGTTTTGTATATTCTAATTTTTTGTTTTTAGATAGCAGATAAGACAAAAGATTCTGGACTGAATGATAGCAAGCATTACATGAATTCAATCTCCTCTTAATTTCCTCCTGAATCAGGTTTTGATTTGTTATAGTCATTCCCAAATATCTGAAATGTGACACATTCTCAAAACATGTTAGCTATCTTTATGTCACAATTTTGCCCTGCATTCTGGTGACGAGACAGCAACGCGTATTTAGTTTTCTCTGCCAAATCTCCAAGCAGGAGAACCATCCCTTGTCGGCTGTCCGCAACTGCTTATGCAATATATTCGTGGCTACAGTCCATATCTAGAAGCCATCTTCTACATCCGCAACCTGAGGGCCTGCCATGCCATGTTGACAAGGGACCCAGCTAACATGGATAAAACTCAAGTACATATAATAAAAAATTATAAAATTATCCATTATAATATTGAAGTACAAACCTCATAAGCTGAGGTGTACTGCATTTTGTGGTAAAATGGAATGAATATATAGCTAATGATGGGAATAGAGATAAAACTGGATAAACCAAACATCCACAACTGTGGTCCAAACAGATATACTTCTGCAGGTTGACCCATCAGGGTTATGGAAGATAGGAACCTGAAAAATGAAGAAAGTATGTGTTATTTGCTTATTCTGTTAATTATCTTTACCTCCTTTCACTTTAACAAAAATGTAAGGTTGTAATCCTTTTCTTATTATTTTAACTATTTCACTTACTATCCTATGTTACTAAGCAGAATGGTGTAGTGGTAATGCTCCAGATTAGTGTTTGGTAGGTGCCAGGTTCGAATCTCAGCCAAGTTACTAGCTCTCTTTGCTGAGGTTTTGTCCTTTCCCTGTCTCTCCAGATGAATGCTGGACACAATAATCTCCTACCAGAAAATTTTTATCTGCACCATCTCTGATCATTATTTTTCAGGTCATATTTAGTTTGGAGATTTTTTATTTTAGTTACTTTTACTCCTAATATTGTTAAAATTATCAAGTCAAGGAGGATAAGATGGGCTGGACATGAGGTACGCATGGGAGAGCCGTGCATACAGGGCATTTTGAGGGGAAAATCTGAAGGTTAAGTGACCAGTGGGAAAGCATAAACTTAAATGGGAATAAAACAAACTCCGTGGTTTTAGTTCGCAAGCGAACTATACCGTACGAGCGACCGCCGCTTGTCTGCGAAGTTGGTGCCAACTTTAGCGGATAGAGGATGTCACGTGGTCAGCGGAACGAATCCCCATGGCCGTTAATTTCGGTTTTCTAGACCGGAGCCGCTATTTTCTTGAAATAGCTCCTCGAGTATCCTCACGAGGCTTAGTTGACCCCGTTCCAGACCCACTACTTCTCAGAAAATCTGGTAGCGCCGGGAATCGAACCCGGACCTCTGGATCTGTATCCAGGAACTGACCACTAGACCACAGAGGCGGTCACTTAGTTGGGAATATAATGTTAAAATGTGTCACAAAGGAATAGGATGGCAGCGTGGATTGAATTTATCTGACTCAGGGATCAGTGGCGGGCTTTTGAGAAAACGGTAATCAACCCTCGGGTTTCATAGAATGCTGGTCATTTCTTAAGTAGCTGAGTTAACTGTTTGGCTCCTCAAAATTGAGTCGGTTAGTTAGTTTGTCAGGTATTTTCAGTATCATCTTAAGGCAATATAAACAGACGTCACAACACAGACAATGAAAATCTTATATTTGTCCTATGAACTGATTATTTTCATTTTGTTTATCAAGCAGGATATTTAGAACAGAATACCTTTGCTTAAGCTTAGTTTGTATGTGTCTTACTATTAACCATTCATTATTCCCGTCATTCTTCTAAATTAATTATTCTCTGAAAGTTTTTTCACTATATGAATCATACGCTAAAAATTACATTTCTTATATCTTTCTGTCGTCTATTTGAATAACTTACGTACGACCATACGCCAAATTAACTGAAGATGTACGATCCTTTCCTTAAGGGGCACATGGTGGGGTAGTTGGTTGAGGCACTATGCAACAAGCCGGAAGGTCGCAGGATCGAATATGATGAGGTGGATTTTCTCAGTTTCCCTAATCCTTCCAGCCACACTATGGCCCTGGGGTCGACTCAGCCTCTGACAGAAATGAGTACCAGGAATATTCTTGGTTGGTGTGTCCACCTTATCGTGGTGAGGGGGTTTGAGTATGCCAAGGACCCTGAGAGCTATACCAGCGGTAGCGTAGCTACTGGCAGGGCCTCCCTTGCTGGACAGGTCAAAGGGTAGGCATCAGACGAAGAGAGACACCAAAAACTGATGCCGGAAGCAGCGTCATCAGCAGCGACTTGAAGCACAGAGCAAATGATGCTCGAGATGGTTCAAGTTCGTATAGCAACAGGCGTGACCAGAGTGGTTTGAACGGCTGTTGTACTGCGATGTGGAAAGCAAATGGAAAAACTACCCCATTATTACTTTTCCTGGATAGTCTCTTTCCAAAAACATAAGATCGCATTAAGTGGAGGAACTGTTTTTGAAGAGACTGTGGAGCCGATTGTCTAGAAAATGTGGGAACCTCAACATCTCACAACCCTTTGGGCCCCCACGGCCTGTTACAGGGATACCATTACTTTATGTACTTTTACTATCCTTTCCTTAATTTATAATAAGTCGATATATTTGGACGCTTTTCAGGGTTAGAATTATTATTCTCTGTGTTAGACAGAAGTAAACGAATGTGAAATATGAAAACCTCTGGGGGTAAATGTTCAAATTACGGTCTCCTGGGTATGTCACTTGGCAGTAAGGTACCACAGGGTGAATATATGTAAAATGATGAACTATTTTGCAAACCACTAATAAAATTGAGCATGTAAACGGAAACGTAACTAACCTTTAGAAAATTGAATGTCTTTACATTAATTGTGGCTCTTCAAACACAATCCATGTGTGAAATATTCTAAATTCCTTCGAGAAGGGCAAAACTGTGAATGAATCATCGTGTAATCGATGTGGGTGACTGAGTTGCCCGTGACGTCAATTTGAATATAAATATTTCGCCATATTACCAAACTATTAGATCTAAGTTTTTGGACAGTTGAATTTTGTGTTTACAATTTGCATATCTAATTTACATTATGTGAGGGCATGTCTTTTCTTGACATGGCCTCCTGCTAGCACATGTTACAAAAACAGCGGCTGGTGTTTGCCTAACATCCGGAAAATCCATGTTGGGTTTAGCTTGGTGAATCCGCATCTGGACAAAGTTTCAGCATTCTCTTTTGACTCCTGTTTCATGAAATTGTCCACTTTCACTCAATACCGCCACTAAAGTCACAGATAAGCGGCCTCCGTAGTCTAGAGGTAACGTTCCCACCTCATGACTCGTGGTACGCGGGTTCAAACCCGGCGGAGGTCGTGGAATTTTTAAGGGCGGAAAAATTCAGGGAACAAGTCCTCCGGGAGGGACTTTAAGCCGTGGATCCCGTGTCGTAGCTTTACGGCACGTAAAGGAACCTCATATCTCCTAAGGAGGTCACTGAGCCAAATTCAAGGTCATTTCCCGCCCAACAGTAGTCTCTAACCCCTCTGATAGATGGGGGAAGCATTATAGATACCGCCAAGCCAGTAGAGGCCGAACTCGCTGGCTCGGTCGGGACCGATGGTAGGCACCAATATCGGTAGGGTATGGAGACTGGTAGAATATCATAGAGGGAAACACAATGGACCAATACTGGTCTAAGTGCATGGAGAAACCCACCCTCTCCAATAACTAACTAACTAACCAAAGTCACACATATACTCCAATTTGGTTAACGAAGGGGAGGGGGTTTAAATTAGAGATTCAGAAATCGAATAGCGCTTTGGTGAAATGAGAAACACATACACAATTTTGGCCCGAAAAAGTTAAAGGAAGAGATCGATTGGAATATCTCGGTGTAGATGGGAAGATAACATTAAAACAGATATGGAATATGATTGTGTGGAGTGGATTTGACTGACCCAATAGAGTCCGGTGTTGGACTGTTGTGAACACAGCAATAATTCTTCGGGATCCGTAACAAGTTAGGTAATACTTGCCTACCTGAGTGACTATCAATAACAGGTGTGCTCTCTGTTGTGGAGGTTAGGTCTGTCTGCAACGAGTTCTTACATCCCACACTCTCGCCAGCAGTGACATGCGGCTTAACAGATTTCAAGGAAATTAAGTTCATTCTATTGGACGCCATGTAATTAATAACTTCGTATCACGTAGGGCAGTGGTTCACAAAGTGGGCTGTACCGCCCACGGTGGGGTTATATGGGGGCGCTAGAGGTGGTCCCCTCTGGGCGCACTCTTCGTTTATTTACGATAAAAGCGATTTCAGACGAGACAATGGGATACTGGTATCACTTCATCGAGACCGTCCGTTGCATTAAGTATTAACATTGAAATAGTTACTAAATATGGTAATTATTTTAATTTCATTATCTTCCTTACGCGGTAGCGTAGTTGTTCGAGGCACTATGCTACAAGCGGTTTCGAGGACCGATAAGGTGGATTTTTCAGTTTACCTAATCCTTCAAGCCGCACTATAGTCCTGGGTTCGACTCAGCCTCTAACAGAAATGAGTATCAGGAATCTTCCTGGGGTGTAAAGGGCGACCGGCGTATAAGGCTGACAACCTTACCGCCATCTGTGAGCTGATTGTCTAGAAAATGTGGGAGCCTCGACGTCTCACAAACCTATGGGCCTTGACGGCCTGTTACAATGATAGCTCTATGTTTTTTGTTAGCTTCTTGAGTGGGTTGTGCAAACCGCTATTCTGAATAAGGCTTTTTATAGGGTAGGACAGGGGGCAAGGGGAGGAGTTTATGGAACCATGTGCGAGGTGGTCCGAAAATTTTGGGGATCACTGATGTAGGATAACTGTTGACTGACGAGTACAGTTTAAAAAGGACTGAAGAAATGTTCGTACTATTGTTCCATCCGATGATATATTTGTAAGGACCAATAGTGGAATGATAACTGGGAAAGGAAAACCGACATGCTCAAAGAAATACTGTGCCAGTGCCGCGCTGTCCCTCATGAGCATCACATGGACTATTTTGGGATCGAACCCAGGCCTCGACGACCAACCTCCTGAGGTATGACACGGCTTGCAGAGATTAACTAGATGGTGCTGAGTCATTCTTGAAAAGATTATAGTCACCAATTCGTCAAGAAAATTCCCTGCCTCTTGTGGAACCCGAAAATTCACCATCTTGTTCAAAAAAGCTTGTCAGTAAGCTATATGTTGAGCCAGATGAATCCAGCCTAAATCCTTACACCACACTGCGATTGGTTCGTGTGTTGTGATCACATAAATACAATTCCTCCTTGATCTGGTCAACCTAAAAATATTGTAACGTGTCGGCAATCCAGAAGAGCCACTCCTATGGAAACGCTAGAATAGACCGTTGCATAGGAGACAACAATCGCTCTATTGTAGTTCCAACACCGAAGCTCCAAGGTTACGACGAATACGCGAAGCGTTCCCACAGAGACAACGCAATAACAATTGGTCATTGCGTAGGAAACGCGGAACCGACAAAGCAACGTTTCCACCGCTATAACAGAGGGTTCGTTGCATAGCAGCGACCAAGGTTATATAGCGGG